CCCCAAAACCCCAAAACCCCAAAACCCCAAAACCCCAACATTCTATCCTAAGTTGACCACCTAACCACCAATAAAAATAATATAATAATTCTCCCTTCCTCATAACTTAAAATACCTGAATAACTAGATGAGATTAGGAATGATCAAGCAATTATTCGAAGTAGATGGAGTGGACGTCATCTTGCCATCCGCAGTTGTCGCTATCAAATGGAAGTCTGATGTGTCCTTTCTCTCCCCAGTCTTCTCCCCAAGAGTTTCTGATGGTGACAGTGGCGACTTCGTTTGCGCTTTGAGGAGCGGTATATGCTACGAGAGTTACAGCGTGGTTATTTCCTCTTCCTGGGCAAGAAGTCATGACACCTTTTCTGTAGAAAGACCATCTGCTGGCATCAACTCCAATATCAACTGGACCGTTCTGGAGCTCAGAAACAATTTCTTTATTGTTAGCGTTGAGGTTAGTGCAGGTCTTAACTCTGATACCGGTGGCATGAGCTTCTTGACAAGTTCCATCTCTTCCCTTGTATGGATAATCAGATTCAAGAACAACATCATTTTGTTCCCAGTATTGGAAAGCGAGATATTCTTCTCCTCCGTTACATCCAGCGTTGTATCTAGTGTCACAATCAACTAAGGATTGCTCTGAGAATCTGGTAGTAACTTGCTTCTGTCCCTGGAAGAGAGCATATCTTCCTTCAGTAACGGCAGTAGTAGCGAAGGCCCAGCATGATCCACAAGATCCTTGGTTCTTTGGGGTTCCCATGAGATCCCTCCAGTCAACATCAACGAGATCGGCAGATGGAGAGATGTCATCACATCCTTCATGATCTCCAAATCCTCTCTTGGTGAGCATAGCTTGCATTTCCTCCTCAGTTCTATCAGCAAATTGGTTGACTCCGAAGGTAGCAAGAGGATTCTCTTCGTTCATTTGAGCAATTGTCTCCAAATTTTTCTCAAAAGCCTTCATTCTGAACTCAAATTCAGCAGAGTTGGCATAATTGGCCTTATAATTCTGGATGAAGCTTTGGAACTCAGCTTGAAGAGCAGAGTTCTCCTCAGTGTAGAGTCCGAAGTAAGCAACGGATGCTAATCCAACGATTGTGAGAGCGATAAGAGCTTTCATATTTATTATTTATAAAGTTAAGTTATCCTATTCTTATATATTTTGACGGGGTTTTGGGGTTTTGGGGTTTTGGGGTTTTGGGGTTTTGGGG